TCCTTAAGTCTTTAAATGAAGAATGTCCAAAATTAAATAGAAGTTTGATTAAAATTATCAAAGCCTTTTTGCATTTAGCAAAGGAAGTCTACAATGATGAAACAATGTTGAAACATTATGTTGAAACTTATAAGTTGCATGAACTAAAAGAGCAACTGCAAAGCTTCTTATATATGCCTATAAAAGGAGGATAGTTACTAGTCAGGAACTTGCACAATATTTTTCTGAACTGCTAGAAACTGTATTTTCAACTAATCTAGACAAGAAATGTCTATCAGATTGATTCAATCAACATACTTTCTGGGCAGAACACTCAAGCCAAGTACTAAACAACCAAGAAACAGGAAAGGAATCTGCCCTGTCCCGTCCACACACACCTCCAACCGCACCCTCCCTCAAATATTTCCTCACAACAAGGGCTGTACTCTGGTCTCAGTGGCTCAAAAGCTTGCTTGCATGCATGACTAGGAGCTCTGCTGTACAGAGAATATAGATCATTTATCATTAACTTTACAAATTCAGCCCATGGACACAAGTGGGTTTGTCCTCTACTCAGAAACACCACCACCAGCACCCCCTTTTATTTATATGTATGCATAAATATATCTCCAGTATCAGTGGGACACAGGAAAAACAGAAACAGAAGTTATCTGAGAAACACGGCTGGAAGGTGCCATGCACCTTGAATAGCTTCTGACATGCAATCAAATAAGATATAAACTGATTCCTCCAATGGGATTAAAAACTCCAATATACATATGTGTTTGTGTATAGGAATATATATATATTTCCATCTGAACTCCTATTATTCTTAATTATGCTCTGTGCATTTAGTATTGCAACACAGACTGTGATGTATTTGAATTATTTAAAAGACACAAGTCATCATGACCCTTCAGAATCTCTTTGCAATTATTTAAAAAAGAATTATTAAACCACAATTCTTAATCTAGCACAACTCCTTTTTCCACGTTAAGGATGAAGACTTTTGACCTCCCCTCTCAACCACTTCAGCTACTGGCAAGGAAAAGATCCTCTTAAAATCCTGGAAGAGTACTTTTTCCATATTCCATTAATGAATTATTTTATTCATGCTTCCCATAATGAAAAATTACTTCTGGAATGACACAACAGAGAAAATTCATCCCAAAAGAAAACATAAACGGAACACACAAAAGGTCGTGAGAAGATACCCAGTTGAAATATAAGCTGCAAGAACACCATAGTGCTGAAATATTTATACTAAATAGAAGTGATGATCTGAAAATCTGTGAAAATAACCCAGGTCTGGAACTTTAGGAAAGAAAAATCATTTCAAGGTTCAGCACAAGACATTAGAATTTACAGAGCAAACAACATCCCTGGCAGTGTTCAAGGCCAGGCTGGATGAGGCCTTGGGTAATATGGTTTAGAGTGAGGTGTCCCTGCCCATGACAGGGGGTTTGGAACTTGATCTTAAGGTCCTTTCCAACCCTAACTATTCTATGATTCTATGATTATTTCTCACCTTGTTTTTGTAGCACTGGATTTCTCTTCTCATGTATCTCTACTATCTATTGAAGACTATTAGCTTTTCATAGATCTTGTACTCATTCACACTACCAGGTCAAAACCCAGAAGACAAACAGAACAATGTAATCTTGTCATAACTTCTCACATCAGAATACACCCAACCCACAAATACTCTGTGTTACTTAGGAGCATAAAGCTCCTAACTTGAGCTGAGGTGTTGGCTGAAGATTAACTAGAGAAGCAGTGTTTGTAGAAAAGATCCCCAACAGAAAGCCTGCTTCACTGTGCACATCAGCACCTGCCAACTTCAGCTTCTCTGAGGTTTCACGTACCCAAGTTTCTCCTTTCTTCGTTTACCACAAAACTGACTAAAGAAATTAAACAGCCAAGAAACTCGCAGACATACAAGTGACTCATTCCAAAGAACAGCTTGCAACTTCACAATGAGAAAGCTTGGAAATCCAGAGCCACCTCAGTTTTCCAGGCTCTCAACTCAGAGCAAACCCAGACTGCCTTGAGTTGAGAGACTCTTGTACTCCCACCATGAACAAGTCTGTTTCCAGTCAACCCTGAAACCTTTAATTCTCCCCTAGTAGTCAGGAAAGAGAAAAGACAATAAAAACAAACAAACAAACAAACAACAACAACAAAAAAAACAACCCGCAAGCACACCCATTTTTGTAAGCTGTGTAAGGGAAGTGGAAAAAGGGGCCTAGCCTGGGATACGAGAAGAGATGTAAGGCAAGATGTGAGACAATAGATTATTTTTTTCACCCACACAATCAATCACATGACCAATTTACTCAGGAGAAGGTTAACCAACACATGGCCCTACCAAGAGGAGAGTCTTGGGTACATAAGAGAAAATGGTCATCAATGACACTCAAGCATTTAATGGATCTACTTGACAGCCGCAGAGAAAAGGCACATAAGCCTATAGAAAACAGAAAGTACTGATATATAAAATACAAGTTATTTTCTTTAAATCACTTTCACTGATAACATTAAGTTCTCATTCTGGAACTGCAGTAGGCTATACAGCCACTTCAGCTCAGCTGAAGAGGCATTAATTTGCACACCTGCAATTATCTGCCATCCCAAATGAGCTAATTCAATGTTATACAAATTTATACTAAGGGAAAAAAAAAAACAACAAAACCAACAAAACACATTCACACAGAAAGACACAGCTAAAATCTAACTGTCAACCTAATCAAGCAAAATTCTGAAGAGGCGTAGGAAGAGCTTTTAATCGTGACTTGCTGTGTTGTGTTTGCCTGTAGAACACGCAGCAAAGAACTATTCAAATACCCAAAAGGCAAAGAGCAAAACAACACAGCCTACTGAGATTATAAAAAATTACTAAAAGCCTTTTTCTTTCTTTGTTGTGTTGTTCATATACTTTATGGAAGTAATTTCATGTTAGTTTTATTTTTAAATGCATAGAATCCTTAGATATGCCACAGGCCGAAGCGAGTCTCCTTTACAGCATACCTAGCAAGTTAGTGAACATCGTAAAAATCTGTGGAGGATATGAAGAGAACAGCCCACAGGTGTTACTTCATACCTCATTGTTGAGGGACACGGTGCCCATGTTTTATGGAAAGAACAGGACTTACAGAAGCCAACTGAAATCAAATTCAGCACTGACATAGTCGAGTATTTCCTTACAATAAGGTCCACAATGTTGTTTTATAAGTTTCCCAGCAAAACAACAATATACTTAAAACTAAACCAGGCAATGCTGCTAATTATAGAGATAAATAATCCTGGTTTAAAAAAACTGTGTTAACTAACTTCACTCTTCAGATTTTTCATTTCTGTGCCTTTATTGTATAATTAGGGGACACTGCTTCAGGCAGGTAGCTTTTTAAAACAACAATTAAGTATTTACCTGTTCTTACTAGGTATCAATTACCTTATTTTCTAGATATCAGGTTTGCTTAAGCAAAGAATGCAAATTTCAAGGTAACGAATGTAACACCAGAAGCATTTTTGCTGTACTCATAGTATGATTGCCATATCACTAACTTCACCCATTTGCTTGTTCCAGCTATAGGACGTGTATTTGGATGATCCCTAAAAAGTTCAACTAATCTGCTAAAAAGTCCAACAACAGAAGTCAGATAATTTCCCCAAACTTTTTTGTGCTTTCAACTCTGTGCTTTGAAAGGGGTTCTTAAAATTTGTCTAATCTGAGCAGGCTAATGCTGGAAAGCATAATTCTGCCACCTTTCTCATCCATTGTTTTCTTGGCCTTAGCTGGCAAAAAAATTAACACATACACACACAAAAAACCAAACCCAAACAAACAAACACACCTCATACAACACAAACTGAACCTCTGGCTACAAGCACAAGACATGTAGGAAGATACCCTTAATACCTCTCTTACGTTTGCCCTTTTGCTGATTAAGGCAAATTCTACTTGGACTGTAAATTATCATCCTCTCCCTCTAGAAAAAGCCTACTTACTGGAAAATCTGTGCACTTTTAAAGCCCTGCTTGTTCTAAACAAGGCAGCTCCTTTCAACCTTTCTGTTTTGGTTGTATTTTTGAAACCTCTTTCTCTTCCTGTTTTCAGGGGCCATCTTTAATTTGCTTTCTTTTTAGTAGACAAGACAGTACCCTAGGTGAGATGCCAGCTAATCTGCACAGGGCACAAGGCTAATATAATTTATGTGTCATGTTCTCACAGACACGAAATGAGATGGGCTGGGTGGGCTTCACCAATTAAAAAATAAACACATAAATAAAGCTTTGAGCATGATTATACTATCACATCCCACTGCACTACTACTCACCTGCTCCTTATTCATCTCAAGTATTATATTTTTCCTTTTTAAGCTCACCACTTCATATATCTGTCTACTGTAATCAATGAATTCCAACACTGTAATTTTTCCAACACCAAAAATCTTTGCCCTCAGTTTCCTGAAGCAGAACTTCAGTGAAGAAAAACTTCCGACTATGAAGTACATCAGAAAGTAAAAGCCTGGAGAGCAGAATAGGTTCGGCTGCATTGTGTGTGTGTATGTATATATATATATATATATATATACAGAAAGAGAGATGTGCATAATAACAGAGTATCTTAGTGAGATCTTTGAAGACTGGAGGGAAATAAAATAGAAGCAAGACCTGGTTGACATCATATTATGAATGATTACAAAGTAATGTAAAGTAATGTAAAATTACAAAGTAATGTAACAAAGAATGTTACATTCTATGCACGAGGCTATGCCCCATGCACTGAAGTTGATTAATGTAATACTTGCAGATCTTCCCTGGGAACATTTCTTTTAACACTGTCCCTCAGTATACCATTCACCTTAAAAAGACAAAGTAATTTCTGATGCAGGTATATCCAAGCATGCTGTTCCTCCTTGGCATCACTGAAAGCTCTGAGTGAATCTCTCTACTCCAGTGGTCATAACCTGTACTTTGCAAACCCACAAATACATAATTACTGACTTTAATGGGAGTACCTGCAATGCACAAACATGTGGGATGGGAAAAAGCCTCTAGTGGCATGTGGCAGAGTACATTACAGATCTTTTGTTCTGAAAGATAAATAGTGCGCATACACATCACATTAAACTTGCATGTACTTCCATTACACTTGGCTACACACTCTCATTCCTGCTGTGCTAACCTTCCTTCATCCCACAAAATTCAAGGTTTTAGGTCTTGCTCTAACTACAGGTATGACTTCTTTATGCAGCTGTTAAACATGCATACATTACACACACATATGTAGCTGGTATTCTCACAGACCAATTCATTGATGTCCTACACCAAACACATTCTCTTGAAAGAAAGGTGAACATGTGCTTTCAAAAATCAGGTAGTCGGATTTCAAAAGAACAGGCCCTTCCAGAAGAGTATTACAAATATCTGTGCCTATATTCATCGAGGAATTTGATTAGTTTTAGCAGGATGGATGAGAAGTGAAACAAAACCAAAAAAAAAAAACAAAAACAAAAACAAAAACAACAAAATCCGTTTAAAGAATCACTATGCCATCAGTGGTAGCTAAAGAAGAAGAACCTTGAAAATATACCGGTACTTTCCTTGCCACTGAAAAACTGATGCATAACTCCTAAAATGAAACATTTCAGCTTTAAAATCACACCACAAGAGGCAGGTCTCAGCGCGGTTTTCACTTCCTGAGTGCGCTCCTGCAAGTAGTACTATGTAACCCTTCTAGGCCGGCTTTCTTACAGACACATCTGAGGGCTTGCTCCCTAGCCCAAAGCCTCTAGGAGTCATACCACAGCAGAAATGAGCCTGAATCCCAAGGGCCTTCTCCCGAATCACTTTTTCTGCTATATATCACTGGCACCACATTCTCTTCATCATCTGGTAGCTGCTAAATAAAAAGAAGAATTTCTAAACCAGCTCTGGTTCAGGTTTGACACTGGAAACTGCCTTATAAGGTATAAAAGCCCGAAAGCAGGAAGAGGCTTTGACAAAACTAAGGAAGTTCCTATGCGCTTGCTCGGTCGAGGGGGAGGGGTTTTTTTCTTCCACAGAGAGGAGTACCACAGAATAAATGACATTATCCCCAGATTATGATTAATAAATCAATACACAAAAACCCCGCAGATGGCACCCGACCAAGCGGTGACTCCCCTAAGCGAGGCGTTCCGGGAGTTCGCAGGCAGCCGCTCACGGCATCCGAACGACCGCGGTCGCCGCTCGCCACCCCCGGGCCCGGCAGTCATACAGGGTCCCCCACTCCCCGGCGGGCACTGGCCGCAGAACCGCAAGTGGCTGCTCTAAGCGGCCCCGGCCAGCTCGAGGACTCCCGGACAGCGAGCGGGACGAGCGCGGCCCCGGAACGAACCGACTGCCGGGGGGAAAGCGGGGCCGCGCCGGAACACCCCTCCCCCGGGCGCCCGCGGAGGACCTCATAAGAGAAAAGGAAGCACCCGGCTGCTCCCCGCAACTCGGCCTGGCGCTACCGGCATCGCGGCGACTCGGGCGCATCTGCCTGGCCCGGCTTGGCTTGGCCCCGCCACAGGCAGCACGACCCCCGCCGCCATCTGCAGCATCAGAACCCACCCAGCCCCGCCCCGGGCGGCACCGAGCTGTCAGCGGCCGGCCCAGCCGTCGCTCACCCCGTGCCGCAGTCCACCACACAGGCCGGAAGCCGCCCTGCCATGCTCCTCGGTAGCAGCGGTGCTGGGGACGGCGGGCAGCCCTGGGCGCGCTGCGGCGGGGCTCAGCGGCGGGGACTGAGGGCACTTCCGCAAGGCGGGCGCTCCTTCCCCCGCCCGCTCACTCGCAGGCACGGCCCAGCGAGCCCAAGATGGCTGACCCGCCCCTCCCTGCGCGCGACGGCGAGGGCGGGCGCTACAACCTCAGTCCTCGATGACGTCCGATCTCGCGGACTCGCCCCTGCGAGGTGGTGCGGAGTGGAGCGGGCGGGTTCTCGCCCAACACCGGCAGTCGTGTGGCAGCGTCGGGGGTCCGTGCAGGTGAAGGCTGTTGAAGTAGTGTTTTAATGCTGAAAATCCGAGAGAAGATGGGGCGAGGGGTTGTATGGTGTGAGAAGAGTGCTGACAATGACGAGGGGACCGCTTATTTCAGGCTCTGCAACTGAAGGGCTGAAAGCTCTCTGCAAAAAAACTGTTCCTGAAGGGCAAATGGAGGAGGTCACACTCCTCATGGTGCTTGTTGGCACTGCCATACGCTAGCAGGGCTGACGAGTAAAGCATCTGCCGGGAAAGGTACCAAATACCCCCACAGCACCAGCCTGCAAGGAAAGCCAGACAAGACTGTGAAAACTTGATTTTTGTAACAAAAACTTGCATTCAAAGGAAACCTTTGAGCCCTTTTCACCTGTTGCCACCATGCGCGTGCCATGCTCCCATGTAACTGCAGCAAACAAGCATGGCTCAGTCTTGACCAGCCATCCCAGCACCCCTATTGATGGGATTGGTGGTGTCTACCGCTTCTTGAGTTTAGCCATAGGTCCCTGTCCTCCTGTTGCAGGACTTTTGTCCCAAGAGGGGCAAGGACATGCACTGTTGGGGCTCTGATGTTTAGGTGGACAAAACAAAAAAAAAAACGCATTCAAGGGATTGCCCTTTTTCTCCCTTTTCACCCTTCGCAGCCCTTCTGGGCTTTGAGGGACAGACAGCTGTATACACCAGGGGCCTAGTTCTTGCCCCAGGGTGTACTGTAGCCAAACGCTATTTTTTTATTCTTTTAGAAGTATTTAAATGTTTTAACAGTTCTGGTATTGGGGCTTTCACATGTTTACCAGTCCTTTGCTTGCTGCTACCACCTAGGCAATGTAGGGATGGCAGCTTCCTGGTTTAATGGAGTGTCACCCTGAGGAGAAACTAGGTAGTTCATCAGGAGTAATTGCAGGGTTCAGCATGCACTGATGGGCCTTAATGGCTCTCATCAGCCTCACCTGGGACCTCCACCCACACTTCCTGCCCAAGAGCACAGGAGGCCCATTTTAGCTCAGCCATGGGCACTAAGTTTTTGTCTGAGCTATGCTCTAGGTGTGTGTTGCCCTCGTTTTGTTTTTTGGTTTTATATTAGACTTGTCCCTTTGGGCATCCCTGGCTGCTATCACTGGCCCTAGTCCTGGTCTGCACTCTGACATCCTGGCTTCACCTTGGACCTGTTTCACAGCCATGAACTTGTCCATCAGTCTGGGCTCTTGGTTGAACCTGGCCATTATCTTTGGGTCTGCCTAGCTTGCCTCAGCCATGTACTATGGGATGTGCCTAGGCTGGTGAGTCCGCAGCTTTGCTGGTTGTGTTACTGCAGCTGGCCCCATGTTCCTTAGCCCTCAAGATGGTCTTGCTTCTTTCTTAAAGCATTAGTCCTCCTCAATTTAAGCTATCTCAAATAAGCTCATTCCCTGACTTCACTGTAAAGCAGGCAAGAATCAGTGCCAGTGCAAAAAAAAAAAAAAATATAAAAAATCTAGGTACATGCCCTTCAGGGTGAGTTAGGAGGGAGCAAAATCATCCCTTTTTCCACCAGCAGCTAGACAATTCAGTTGTGAAGTTCAAGCCACCATCTGGCTTCTGTGGGCTGCCAGATCTTCCTGAGGAACATAAGCAAGAAAAGGATATACTGAGAATATTAACAGTTTTTCTTTAATGTCAAGGCAAATTATGAATAGAACATTATGAGGCAGTTACAGATAATGAAAGGGATTTCTGCAGGATGTTGTGTACCCTGTGAGCTATGCTGTGCTAGAAAATAAAAGATCAGTATCCCTGAAATCTTTTCAGAGAAAGTAAAAATAACCCTGTTTTTAATGCACATGCATCGGTGTGTGCATAGGTACTTACTTAAATAAATAGAGTTGTTATATAAAGTAACATGGACTTTTTGCTTTCCTCTTGGTTTTATTACCTGGTATTCAGGGTTATACATGCGGCAGGTTCAACTGCTGCATCTGGCTAATGGAGTCCTGGAATGAGAGAACAGCTTAGTGCCCAGTTGCAGGAGTTCAAGTAACTCCACATAGGAGCATGAGACAAGGGCCCAAAAACTGTGGCATGCATATAAAGTGGTGCTGGCAGGGGTTGTCCTGGCTATACAGCTCATTAGAGGCATCAGAGAAGGGACCAGATTCACCAAGTTAGTATGCCCAGCTGTAGGGACTTTTGAACAGTGTAATCATCAGTGTATCATAGCTAACTTTGCTACTTAGTATCTCCAAATAATGCTCCTGATTAGTGTAGAAAAACTTTAATAGAAAAGTCAGAAGACAGAGAGAAGACCAGCTATAAAGGTAAGCTGATGAGTTTCTGCTAACAGAACTGTCATTTCACTGTAACACATTAAATCACACACACAAGCACTTACTGTAGTGCACTCTACAGAATATATCCTATAGCTGTATTTATTTTTATTTTCTCCTTGTGAGTACAAATGTTTTCTGTGAAATGGTAGGACACTGAGAGAAAAAAAAACAAACAAACCCAAACTGCAGTTTATATGGAAAGTGAAACAAATCTATTGAGCAACTCCATTATGATCTTGTTCTGTAAGTTTGTGTTCTTCCTGAGTCTGTATCACAAATGACATTGAAAGAGAGCAGTGCTGGTTCATTTTGTTTTTATTAATTACAGTGGAATTTACATTTGAGGACCAAGAAGCATAGGATTTCTCTTAATATTAAGGTGCCAAGTCAGTCATATTTTTGCAAGGGAAGGAGTTGAAAGACTGAACTCCCTGGCCATGGTATCTTGTTTCACTTTATTAGTCTTGCCAGATGCAGTTCTTCAGGTGGCTGTGGACCCAGTCAGCAGTCCAGTAAGAAAGGTGTAAAGTCAGTGGTTTAATATGTTCTCAATCTTCCCAATGGAATAGTAGTGAATAAAATCCTAAATTGCCTTTATCTGGCTCCATGCTGTACAGCAGACATAATCCAGCAATATCCTCATTCTGTGATGCATCACAGTCCAGCTTTTATTAGCACAATGGGATTTCAGGTGATCTTTTCCTGAATATCCATGATAGCAGAAGTAATTACCATTGCAGAGTATCCTCCTTCTGTTACTGTCTGCCTCCCAGCAGGTTACAACATAAGTATAAAAGGAGAGAATGCATATGAATACAAATGCATAAGGAATTAGAAGATAAAAGTTCAAAAGGAAAGTATTTCTATTAGTCAACAAGTAAACACAGGAGCAGTCTAACAGTTAGGTTTAGATGGAGGGAACTTCCAGACAACTTTCTACAATTTTTATATAAATAAGTTTTGAGGTTCCAAATTTTTCCATGATCCAGGTATGATTTACTAGCTCTGT